TGAATTGTGCATTTTTCGTATACTGTCTGTTTGTGTAAAGAATGTGATACATGTTTTCTGCAAGAATATTTTGGTTTTACAACTACACAAAAATATCCATGTTTACTACGCCTTTCTTAACTCTCAGACCACGGTTTGGCTCTATCACTAGTTTTCATAGTATTTTTGGCATCTTTAGCTTTACCCTTAGTCCAAAACATCAAACAGTGACTGGGCTGCAAAGGAGATATTTTTTCTTATATTATGAAGACAGCACATTTTGCACATATTCCAATGTGGTTTCAGTTCAATAAACACATTTGAATCTGATGATATGAATACCCAAAAAAGCCAAGAAGATGATGAATGATTTGGGCTGAAAAATAGAACTTTCAGAGCATAGACAAGAAAACAAGAAATCTTGATGTACATTTGCTGCATGATTATGTTTTCCCCCCTCGCCATTTATTACCATTATACATAAATTACACACAACACATCCAAATTCCCACACACTTCCTCGGCGCTCTTCACCTCGCGGCCTCCTGCAGATGATTTGCCCCTGCCACGCTGCACTTCTTGCCACGGGCGAGAATTGCCAACGAAGACAACATTGTTCCGACGGAGCCTGTAGTGTTCCACGCACGCTGTGAAAAACGTACATATTATTCTTATCGGCGCAGCCCAGCGTAGAGTGGTCAGCCCGATAGAGCCGGGAGGTTTAGAGCGCCATTCTAAGGGCACCTTGGCTCCCCAATGAGACAGTCAGATATGTGTTTATCTTTCTGCACCGAGATTAGCCTTTGTGCGCAGCTTTGGCCTTCTAAGCTACTGCTGCTGCTTCTGCGCTGGAGATGGCGGGCTGGAGATGGCGGGCTGGAGATACCGGGATGTGGATGTGTCACGATGATCGAAGGCCGCGTGGGCGTCGATGCGTGCAGGTTAGATTTCCGCTGGTGTAGGATTGCAAAGGGCGTCCAGGTTATACGTTTTGAAGACGTTGTAGAGGGTAGAGGTTGTATATCGTGGTAACGTCAAGAGGACTGGACAATAGTGTGAATAGGACCATGGATGCAAATTAGCACAATATGTTATAATAAAGCACTCTTTGGATCATTTCCCAAAGCAAACAACCTCTCAGGCACACTAATGAACCACGGAAAAGTGGTTGAAAAACACTGGTTTAGATCATACTCAGAAAGAAAACTTAGACAGCTAAGGCCGATCTTTCCCATTCAAACTAAAATGGACTCTCTCATGCAGAGCCCATGAGCCGCCACAAGGGGGCCCACCTAAGGAAAAGTGAAACAAGTGCTCTCAGCTCCCCCTGCTGGAGGGGACAAGCATTGGAACTTAGAGTTAGGTTAAGAGCCGAGCTGTGAACCAGGTGCTAAAGCTGTTTCTGAAATAACAGTCTTGAAAGCTGTGAATGGAGCAAACAACTCCAGGTCTGCTTTTGATCAGGGAACAATGTTGTGACGTGGTTGACATTTAAAAAGGACAATATTTTGCATAATTCATCACAGAATTTTTCCCAGTTAAGAACTGAAGCTTCAGTATTTGTGCTGAAATGTGTTTAGTTGCACTGTAGTTTCAGGAGCTTAAATCTATGAATAAGTTGATGCAAAATCATTGAACACTTGGGCTGGTTGGTAAATCTCACACACACCATTGCTACAGGCTGTTACACTGTTTTTTGCCTCCATGAAGTCAGAAATTGTACATGCACACTGCTCGTTTGCAAATCCAAATTGCTTTTTTACCTCGGGCTAAATGGAAATCCTCCAACATGACAACCCCAATCCCAAACTGTCTCTGGAACCATTTTGGATGAACGTGGCTCTAGTCTGCCCGCAGTTTCACTAATTGGTACCATATTTTACGATAACAGTCTTTCCACAAACTGTTTTTGTCTGAACAAAGCACTTAAATGATCTTGTACTTGTAGGCAAGGCAAGTTTATTTATATAGCACAATTCATACACAAGGCAACTCAAAGTGCTGAACAAGACATAAATAATCACAGTACATTACAAAGAAGGAGGAGTCCAGTCCCTGTGCTCCTCAGAGTCCCAGCAGGAGTCCAGTCCCTGTGCTCCTCAGAGTCCCAGCAGGAGTCCAGTCCCTGTGCTCCTCAGAGTCCCAGCAGGAGTCCAGTCCCTGTGCTCCTCAGAGTCCCAGCAGGAGTCCAGTCCCTGTGCTCCTCAGAGTCCCAGCAGGAGTCCAGTCCCTGTGCTCCTCAGAGTCCCAGCAGGAGTCCAGTCCCTGTGCTCCTCAGAGTCCGGGCTGGTTCATATGGGACTAACATGTCACTAATATATTTTGGTGCGAGGCCATGGAGAGACTTGTAACAAGCAGAGCTGTTTTAAAGTCTATTCTCTGAGCCACAGGAAGCCAGTGCAGAGACCTGAGGACTGGACTAATGTGGTCGTACTTCCTGGTTCTAGTCAGGACTAATGTGGTCGTACTTCCTGGTTCTAGTCAGGACTAATGTGGTCGTACTTCCTGGTTCTAGTCAGGACTGGAGCTGCTGCATTTTGAATGTACTGCAGCTGTTTTACAGCCTGTTTGGACAGACCTGTGAGCAGGCCATTGCAGTAGTCTAACCTACTGGAGACAAATGCATGGATAAGAATCTCCAAGTCTGCTTTAGACACTATGTTTTTGATCCTGGCAATGTTTTTTAGATGGTAAAAAGCTGCTGATGTTACTGATTTGATGTGGCTATTAAAATTTAAGTCTGAGTCCAGTATTACCCCTAGATTTCTGACCTTGTTTGAAGGTTTTAGGGAGAGAGACTGTAGGTGACAGATGACGCTCTCTCTTTGTTTCTGGGGACCAAAGACAATCATTTCAGTTTTGTCTGCGTTTAGCTGAAGGAAGTTGTTTTGCATCCACTCACTGATCTGTTGGATACAGTGAAGGAGTGAGTCCACTGGTCCATGTTCTCCTGCAGTCAGTGAGACATAGATCTGAGTGTCGTCTGCATAGTTATGATAGGAAACTTTGTTTCTGCGTATTAACTGACCTAACGGCAGCATGTAGAGAATGAACAGAAGAGGTCCCAGGATCGACCCCTGTGGGACTCCACAGGTCAGGGCCATATGATCTGAGACACAGTTTCCAATCTCCACAAAGTACTTCCTGTCTTCAAGGTAAGACCTAAACCAACTTAGGGCGGTGCCAGTGACGCCAACCCAGTCCTCTAGTCTCTGTAAGAGGATCTCATGGTCGACAGTGTCAAAGGCAGCACTCAGATCTAACAGGATTAGGATTGAGACTTTGCCTGCGTCAGTGTTCAGCCGGATATCGTTTGTAACCTTAACGAGAGCAGTCTCAGTGCTGTGGTGGGGTCTAAAGCCGGACTGAAACATATCAAATGAGTTGTTGATTATAAGAAATCTAGTAAGCTGTAGGTAGACAACTTTTTCAAGGACTTTCCCCATAAATGGCAGATTTGAGATGGAACGATAGTTGTTAAGTACCGTAGCATCCAGACTGCTATTTTTTAGAAGGGGCCTTTTGTACATTTATCTTGTGCACCCTGGGGACTTCTGCACATGTATTCCAATTTGGTTTTACTGCAAACGTCAAATAAAACACATCTGAATCTGCGAGATACTGCAGTCAAACTATTCCCAAACTTGGCAACAACCTCCGACTGCCGCCTCCTCCATTAGACCATCAACCTGCAAAACCTTAATAATCAGCCTCACTTTTCTCTTTCTCTATCTCCCCCCCCTCCGCCCCTCTCTCCATCCACACTCCTCAAATAAAGGCACTCTTTCCACTATAATAGGGTTATTGATTGAGGTATAGCAGCCGCGCGTCTCCCGGCTCGCAGGGTGATGAATGGGCAGACATTTTGTGTGTCATAGAGAGATAGGGAACAACTTGTCTTCGGGCCTCGCTCTCCTCCTCTTCCCCCATCTTTCCGTTTGACTCTGCTCCTCCCGGTGCGGTGAAAGAACGAAGCATTAAATTGGCTCACAGTGGAAGCGCTCATCAGCCGTGTGACATGTTTTACTGATGAGCTGGAGAGTATCTGGACTGATTTCTGCACCGAGACTTCCATAATACACCTGCTTTGTCTGGTTGTTGTCCTCGTCTGGGCAGATGTGAGGAGACGGAGGTGTGTGGTCATTAACATCAAAACAAGGCGACCGCCGCAGTTCTCTCGATTATTCACTCAGATCGTTTCTCTTCTGATAGTTTGATTGAGTTTGACTGAAGATGATGTATAGTTGTTGTCCCAGAGAGCAAAATTAACCAGATCTTTCCACATAAAAGAACTTGATCCTAAAGCAGTATTTCCCAACCAGGGGTACGGGGTTTTGTGTACGGGGGTTGCAAAAATTGGTAAAAAGAAGTCTCTATGGGCAACTATGGCAGGTTAGACTCTGACAATTATGAGAGCGTTCAAAAGTCCATTTGCTTAAGTAATTTAGCTTAAAAGGTTTATAGGAGGATTATCCCAAATTTCTCTCCACTTTTTGATCAAAACTCTTTGGTCTTATTTGACAAACATGTATCACCAGAATGATTGAATATTGGGAGGACCAATAGTCTTGATGATCCCCCCGGAAGTAAAACAATCTTAATCCTATAAACCTTTAAAATGTTGAACTGATTCAATTCATTCTTGTATAGTCCTGATCACGACAGTAGTTTTCAGGCAGGACTTATCAAAGTATTCGCCAACATATATCGGAGAATCAAACGGTTCAAACACAGGAAGTACAAAGATAAAAACAAATAAAGCCATTGGTCCATAAGAAGCAGAGATAAATGTCCATAATTATATATATTTAAATGTTTATAAATGTCCTTGAATGTCCTGGACCATCAGCGCTGTCCTCAGACCCTCCTGCTTCAGAGGATCAACTCTAAAAACCAGTGGGAGAGACTTTGGGGGCGGTCCACATCGAGGGAGGGTCCACATCGAGGGAGGGTCCACATCGAGGGAGGGTCCACATTGAGGGAGGGTCCACATCGGGGGAGGGTCCACATCGAAGGAGGGTTCACATCGGGGGAGGGTCCACATTGAGGGAGGGTCCACATCGAAGGAGGGTCCACATCGAGGGAGGGTCCACATCGGGGGAGGGTCCACATCGAGGGAGGGTCCACATCGGGGGAGGGTCCACATCGAGGGAGGGTCCACATCGGGGGAGGGTCCACATCGAGGGAGGGTCCACATCGAGGGAGGGTCCACATCGAGGGAGGGTCCACATCGAGGGAGGGTCCACATCGAAGGAGGGTCCACATCGGGGGAGGGTCCACATCGGGGGAGGGTCCACATCGGGGGAGGGTCCACATTGAGGGAGGGTCCACATCGAAGGAGGGTCCACATCGGGGGAGGGTCCACATCGGGGGAGGGTCCACATTGAGGGAGGGTCCACATCGAAGGAGGGTCCACATCGGGGGAGGGTCCACATCGAAGGAGGGTCCACATTGGGGGAGGGTCCACATCGAAGGAGGGTCCACATCGGGGGAGGGTCCACATCGGGGGAGGGTCCACATCGGGGGAGGGTCCACATCGGGGGAGGGTCCACATTGAGGGAGGGTCCACATTGAGGGAGGGTCCACATCGGGGGAGGGTCCACATTGAGGGAGGTTCCACATCGGGGGAGGGTCCACATTGAGGGAGGGTCCACATCGAGGGAGGGTCCACATTGAGGGAGGGTCCACATTGAGGGAGGGTCCACATCGGGGGAGGGTCCACATTGAGGGAGGTTCCACATCGGGGGAGGGTCCACATCGGGGGAGGGTCCACATTGAGGGAGGGTCCACATCGAGGGAGGGTCCACATCGAGGGAGGGTCCACATCGGGGGAGGGTCCACATCGAGGGAGGGTCCACATCGAAGGAGGGTCCACATTGAGGGAGGGTCCACATCGGGGGAGGGTCCACATTGAGGGAGGGTCCACATCGAGGGAGGGTCCACATCGAGGGAGGGTCCACATCGGGGGAGGGTCCACATCGGGGGAGGGTCCACATCGGGGGAGGGTCCACATTGGGGGAGGGTCCACATCGGGGGAGGGTCCACATCGAGGGAGGGTCCACATCGGGGGAGGGTCCACATCGGGGGAGGGTCCACATCGGGGGAGGGTCCACATTGAGGGAGGGTCCACATCGAGGGAGGGTCCACATCGAGGGAGGGTCCACATTGAAGGAGGGTCCACATTGAGGGAGGGTCCACATCGGGGGAGGGTCCACATCGGGGGAGGGTCCACATCGGGGGAGGGTCCACATTGAGGGAGGGTCCACATCGGGGGAGGGTCCACATCGAGGGAGGGTTCACATCGAGGGAGGGTTCACATCGGGGGAGGGTCCACATCGAGGGAGGGTCCGTGTGGATGGACGTTAGACCTCGTCTCAGGGGGATACTACTTTTGGTGTATGTGTGTTTTGCAGTATTTGAAATATTTGTACTTTTTCCAATCTTTTACAGTGGGGCTTTTTAAAATCTTAATTATTTTGAATGTTTTCTCTTTTTTTTTAAAGGGTTTATTTTCAGACGTTGACTTTTCAGATCTTTATAACGGAGTGTACTTCACTCTCTGTACTTCTAAATGTTGCAGTATTTGCAGTACTCATGAATATTCTCCTGAACCACTCTGGCTCCATTCTGCCTTTCCACAGGACCTTACTCTTAAAGCTGAGGTTCCTAACTTTTTGTTCAACATAAATAATACATGTATTTGGTAAAAGTAAATTGTGAGAACATATCAGACCAAAACATGTTGTCGTTGCCCTGGGAGTCACTATGTGGCGCTTTGGGCTGCACAAATGTAGCTTTTTATTTTAAATCCATCATATGAATATTGCATTCCAACATCTCCTTATTTATTACAAAATAAAACTGCAGTTTGTCAAATACTAGTGTTGGGAAAAACATCATGAATGACTTATTTAAAAGTAATGTGTTACTACAACATTACTGTCTCTGAATTATACAATACATTTACAATAGTATTTATTCTTGTATTTCCCTAAATCACAGCAGCATCATCTCAGAGACTGAACAAAACCATTGAAATCACAGATCAGAGAATCAACAGTTAACACACATGAAGAATATAGAACACATGTTGATAAATGTCATACATGTTGCAGAATGTTAAATTATAGAGCATTACTCTACTGCAGTACTTTAAGTTACTTTCACCAAATATATAAATACTAACTAATGTAGCTCATGATGCTTCTGCGAGAGGATGATGAGCTTTAGCTTTGGTACAACAAGAGAATTTAACTGTTCCACATCGTCCACAACGGAGTCTCTGCTTCAGCCTCTGTCTCTGCTTCAGCCTCTGTCTCTGTCTCTGTCTCTGCCTCTGCCTCTGTCGCTGCCTCTGCCTCTGTCTCTGTCTCTGCCTCTGTCTCTGCCTCTGTCTCTGCCTCTGCCTCTGCCTCTGTCTCTGTCTCTGTCTCTGCCCCTGCCTCTGTCTCTGTCTCTGTCTCTGTCTCTGCCTCTGCCCCTGCCTCTGTCTCTGTCTCTGTCTCTGTCTCTGTCGCTGCCTCTGCCTCTGTCTCTGCCTCTGCCTCTGCCTCTGTCTCTGTCTCTGTCTCTGCCTCTGTCTCTGCCTCTGTCTCTGCCTCTGTCTCTGTCTCTGTCTCTGTCTCTGTCTCTGTCGCTGCCTCTGCCTCTGTCTCTGTCTCTGCCTCTGTCTCTGCCTCTGCCTCTGCCTCTGCCTCTGTCTCTGTCTCTGTCTCTGCCTCTGTCTCTGCCTCTGTCTCTGCCTCTGCCTCTGCCTCTGTCTCTGTCTCTGTCTCTGCCTCTGCCCCTGCCTCTGTCTCTGTCTCTGTCTCTGTCTCTGTCGCTGCCTCTGCCTCTGTCTCTGTCGCTGCCTCTGCCTCTGTCTCTGTCTCTGCCTCTGTCGCTGCCTCTGCCTCTGTCTCTGTCTCTGTCTCTGTCTCTGCCTCTGCCTCTGTCTCTGCCTCTGCCTCTGCCTCTGTCTCTGTCTCTGCCTCTGTCTCTGCCTCTGTCTCTGCCCCTGCCTCTGTCTCTGCCTCTGTCTCTGCCTCTGTCTCTGCCCCTGCCTCTGCCTCTGTCTCTGCCTCTGTCTCTGCCTCTGTCTCTGTCTCTGCCTCTGCCTCTGTCTCTGTCTCTGCCTCTGTCTCTGTCTCTGTCTCTGTCGCTGCCTCTGCCTCTGTCTCTGTCTCTGTCTCTGCCTCTGCCTCTGCCGCTGCCTCTGCCTCTGTCTCTGTCTCTGCCTCTGTCTCTGCCTCTGTCTCTGCCTCTGCCTCTGTCTCTGTCTCTGTCTCTGTCTCTGTCGCTGCCTCTGCCTCTGTCTCTGCCTCTGCCTCTGTCTCTGCCTCTGCCTCTGTCTCTGCCTCTGTCTCTGCCTCTGTCTCTGCCTCTGCCTCTGCCTCTGCCTCTGCCTCTGTCTCTGCCTCTGCCTCTGCCTCTGTCTCTGCCCCTGCCTCTGCCTCTGTCTCTGCCTCTGTCTCTGTCTCTGCCTCTGTCTCTGCCTCTGTCTCTGTCTCTGTCTCTGCCTCTGCCTCTGTCTCTGTCTCTGCCTCTGTCTCTGCCTCTGTCTCTGCCTCTGTCTCTGCCTCTGCCTCTGCCTCTGCCTCTGCCTCTGTCTCTGCCTCTGCCTCTGCCTCTGTCTCTGCCACTGCCTCTGCCTCTGTCTCTGCCTCTGTCTCTGTCTCTGCCTCTGTCTCTGCCTCTGCCTCTGTCTCTGTCTCTGTCTCTGCCTCTGCCTCTGTCTCTGTCTCTGCCTCTGCCTCTGTCTCTGCCTCTGTCTCTGCCTCTGCCTCTGTCTCTGCCCCTGCCTCTGCCTCTGTCTCTGCCTCTGTCTCTGTCTCTGCCTCTGTCTCTGCCTCTGCCTCTGTCTCTGTCTCTGTCTCTGCCTCTGCCTCTGTCTCTGTCTCTGCCTCTGCCTCTGTCTCTGCCTCTGTCTCTGTCGCTGCCTCTGCCTCTGTCTCTGTCTCTGCCTCTGTCGCTGCCTCTGCCTCTGTCTCTGCCTCTGTCTCTGTCTCTGCCTCTGCCTCTGCCTCTGTCTCTGTCTCTGCCCCTGCCTCTGTCTCTGCCTCTGCCTCTGTCTCTGCCTCTGCCTCTGTCTCTGCCTCTGTCTCTGTCTCTGCCTCTGCCTCTGTCTCTGCCTCTGTCTCTGCTTCAGCCTCTGTCTCTGTCTCTGCCTCTGTCTCTGCCTCTGCCTCTGTCTCTGCCTCTGTCTCTGCCTCTGTCTCTGCCTCTGTCTCTGCCTCTGCCTCTGTCTCTGTCTCTGTCTCTGTCTCTGTCTCTGCCTCTGCCTCTGCCTCTGTCTCTGCCTCTGCCTCTGTCTCTGTCTCTGTCTCTGTCTCTGCCTCTGCCTCTGTCTCTGTCTCTGTCTCTGTCTCTGTCTCTGCCTCTGTCTCTGCCTCTGCCTCTGCCTCTGCCTCTGCCTCTGTCTCTGTCTCTGCCTCTGTCTCTGTCTCTGTCTCTGTCTCTGCCTCTGTCTCTGCCTCTGTCTCTGTCTCTGTCTCTGCCTCTGCCTCTGCCTCTGTCTCTGCCTCTGCCTCTGTCTCTGTCTCTGTCTCTGTCTCTGTCTCTGCCTCTGCCTCTGTCTCTGTCTCTGTCTCTGTCTCTGCCTCTGTCTCTGCCTCTGCCTCTGCCTCTGCCTCTGCCTCTGTCTCTGTCTCTGCCTCTGTCTCTGTCTCTGTCTCTGTCTCTGCCTCTGTCTCTGCCTCTGCCTCTGTCTCTGTCTCTGCCTCTGCCTCTGTCTCTGCCTCTGTCTCTGCTTCAGCCTCTGTCTCTGCCTCTGCCTCTGTCTCTGTCTCTGTCTCTGTCTCTGTCTCTGCCTCTGCCTCTGTCTCTGTCTCTGTCTCTGTCTCTGTCTCTGTCTCTGCCTCTGCCTCTGCCTCTGTCTCTGCCTCTGCCTCTGTCTCTGTCTCTGTCTCTGCCTCTGTCTCTGCCTCTGCCTCTGCCTCTGCCTCTGCCTCTGTCTCTGTCTCTGCCTCTGTCTCTGTCTCTGTCTCTGTCTCTGCCTCTGTCTCTGCCTCTGCCTCTGTCTCTGTCTCTGCCTCTGCCTCTGTCTCTGCCTCTGTCTCTGCTTCAGCCTCTGTCTCTGTCTCTGCCTCTGCCTCTGCCTCTGCCTCTGTCTCTGTCTCTGCCTCTGCCTCTGTCTCTGCCTCTGTCTCTGTGTCTGCCTCTGTCTCTGCTTCAGCCTCTGTCTCTGCCTCTGTCTCTGCCTCTGTCTCTGTCTCTGTCTCTGCCTCTGTCCCTGCCTCTGTCTCTGCCTCTGCCTCTGCCTCTGCCTCTGTCTTTGTCTCTGCCTCTGTCTCTGTCTCTGTCTCTGTCTCTGTCTCTGCCTCTGTCTCTGTCTCTGCCTCTGCCTCTGTCTCTGTCTCTGCCTCTGCCTCTGTCTCTGTCTCTGCCTCTGTCTCTGTCTCTGCCTCTGCCTCTGTCTCTGTCTCTGCCTCTGCCTCTGTCTCTGCCTCTGCCTCTGCCTCTGCCTCTGCTTCAGCCTCTGTCTCTGTCTCTGCCTCTGCCTCTGTCTCTGTCTCTGTCTCTGCCTCTGTCTCTGTCTCTGTCTCAGCCTCAGCTTCAGCCTCAGCCGTCTTCTACCAGAAAGGAAAAACCTTTGCAGACGGCTACTTTTGGCGCTGATGTCTCCTGCTGATGTTGTTCTCCTGCTGATGTTGTTCTCCTGCTGATGTTGTTCTCCTGCTGATGTTGTTCTCCTGCTGATGTTGTTCTCCTGTTGATGTTGTTCTCCTGCTGATGTTGTTCTCCTGCTGGTGTTGTTCTCCTGCTGGTGTTGTTCTCCTGCTGATGTCTCCTGCTGGTGTTGTTCTCCTGTTGATGTTGTTCTCCTGCTGGTGTTGTTCTCCTGCTGATGTCTCCTGCTGATGTTGTTCTCCTGCTGATGTTGTTCTCCTGCTGATGTTGTTCTCCTGCTGATGTTGTTCTCCTGCTGATGTTGTTCTCCTGCTGATGTTGTTCTCCTGCTGGTGTTGTTCTCCTGCTGATATTGTTCTCCTGCTGATGTTGTTCTCCTGCTGGTGTTGTTCTCCTGCTGATGTTGTTCTCCTGCTGGTGTTGTTCTCCTGCTGATGTTGTTCTCCTGCTGGTGTTGTTCTCCTGTTGATGTTGTTCTCCTGCTGATGTTGTTCTCCTGCTGATGTTGTTCTCCTGCTGATGTTGTTCTCCTGCTGATATTGTTCTCCTGCTGATGTTGTTCTCCTGCTGATGTTGTTCTCCTGCTGATGTTGTTCTCCTGCTGGTGTTGTTCTCCTGCTGATGTTGTTCTCCTGCTGATGTTGTTCTCCCGCTGATGTTGTTCTCCTGCTGATGTTGTTCTCCTGCTGATGTTGTTCTCCTGCTGATATTGTTCTCCTGCTGATGTTGTTCTCCTGCTGATGTTGTTCTCCTGCTGATGTTGTTCTCCTGCTGATGTTGTTCTCCTGCTGGTGTTGTTCTCCTGCTGATGTTGTTCTCCTGCTGATGTCGCGGTGGCGTAGTATAAAACAAAATCAGTTTCGGCCTCAGATGCGAAACAGACAGTAACATACTGTATTGAACAGTTTTTAGGTATTGCTTTACATTACTGCGTTACGGCAAAAAGTAAAACATTACAGTAATAATACTTTCTGGTGTTACTCCCGACACGGGCAAATACAAAAGCTTGAAGTAGTACGACTGATATGTCCTAATTCTCAGAATATAATCCGCGGCCACTTCTTCTGTTCCTATTTCTCAGCTCCAAGAAAAAAGATCAATATCATGAACCCGGCTTTCAAGCTCCAACATCTTTTCTCTTCAAAACATTTTTCTCTGAAGTTTTTTTCATTCAGTTCATAGATTTTATTCAAGGATTTTTCTTTGATACTTATCTACATCTCAGGCTCTCGATCGGAGACGTATTCACATTTAAACCATTTGTTACATTGTCTTTGGCTGTCTCTTTAATTACGGCCCATAAACTCCAGGGATTAAGACAAATTAAGATTAGATATTCCTTTGTCTCCCACAGAGGTGTAGGGTTTAGGGCAGACATAAAGAACACATCAGAGGGCTCCAGGACCATGGAAAACACATGTATTTAACCAGCAGGAAATCAAGAGCCTAGGCCTACTGCAGGTTCAGACCCTGAGCAACATGACATTCACCATTTGCAGTTAAAAACAATTAAAACATGAGAAAGATAAACACATAAATAAGCAATTGACGATTTGAAATAGTTTTGTTTTTTAAATTCTGAAGGAATTTCAAAATAATAGAAAGGTATTTTCACAAAACCCAGCCCCTTCAGTGTCCCCTTCTCTGACACGGCACATCGTCTCACTAAGCCCCACTGCCTTCTGCATTATTTTCATTGAATTATATACTTTATCTTTTTTGTGTGTTTATTGATTTATTTTATATTTCAAATAACTGTGGAAAACGTATTGATTAATGTATGACTGAGAAAGAAAACTAATAAAATATAAATTACAAAAAAGAAAGAGGTATTTCACAGTGAAGAAGAGTAATCTATCATATTTTTACAGTGAGCAGGCCAAAAGAACCCATTCTTTGATAATATAATATTATAAATAATATTGATATATAAATTCAACATTGGTGAAGGACTGCGATGGTTCCGAGAGTAATACAAGGATAAAACAAAGCTGTATGTTTATAATTAGTTAAAACATGATTCTGAATCATCTGTGAAGTATTTCCACTTCAGAGCCTCCTCCTGCTGCGTGCAGATATTTATAGCATGATTACGTTCCTGAAAAAAGTGGTTGCCCTATAAATCCAGATTAGAGCGAGTACCTCCATCTGTGTGTGCGAACAGGCCACGCCCATTAGCACACATGTAATCCACCGACCTGTGCTCTGCTCCGGATTAACCCTTTACTACATGTCACAGAAAAACCATGATGGGAATATGTGAGACTGGAGAGAGTGGAGGAAGCTTCTGTGGTTAAACCATTTCAATCTGTTTTAACACTGTAATGTATGTTACTTGTTCTATGCCTTCTCTTGAAAATAATAAAAAGAAGCTTTACCTCTTGTTCAGTTGTTGTTATTAGTTCAGATAATATTACATTCAGATTCATTGTTTATTTGCCATTTGCAGTAAATCCACATTGGAATACATGTGCAAAAGCCTCCAGTGTGCACCAGACAAGTACAGAAATAGCTAAAAAGTACAGGGAACAATTTTCAATGTGAAATCAATCAACAAAAACAATACAAGTGCTTTGTTCAGACTGATATCTGAGCATTTGACCCAGATGCAGAGGACCCATTGGACCGCTCAATGGATAAAATGACAGCGTTCTTGGGGCTCGCTCAGACTCGAGCTGAGCTGGAGGATTCTCACAGTTGCATCTTTGGGGCTGAGGGAATAAGGAATGATCCTGGGGAAAGTACTCCCAGACACAGAGATAAAAAGGTATGGACCTGGGAGTCACTCAAAATGGAAACTTCTTGCTCCACATCACACCAGGAGGTTAAAAAGCCATTACCGGGACTGGGTTTTAAAGAAGGATCAGGCCACTTTCCGTGCTTTTGCCTTTTCATTACTTGTCCCGTACTTCTCTTCTCACAGCTTTAAACCCCAAATGACATTATTCCCTTTACTGACTCACTGTTTTGTGTATTCATAATTAATTTGTTCTTACGGTTCTCTGGCGTCTATGTGATTGTCTCAGTGTGCTCCCGAAACAGCAATAGAGCTGCACGACATCAGGGCTCGGGAAAATACGATTGGAAGCGAAAAGCGTTTTACATGAATCCAATCGCACGCATTTGTGACGACACAGAAACACTCAGAACAGACTCGGTGACGATCAAATGAACCCTGTAGACACGAGCACAGGGACTGGCCTCCTGCTGGGACTCTGAGGAGCACAGGGACTGTCCTCCTGCTGGGACTCTGAGGAGCACAGGGACTGGCCTCCTGCTGGGACTCTGAGGAGCACAGGGACTGGACTCCTGCTGGGACTCTGAGGAGCACAGGGACTGGCCTCCTGCTGGGACTCTGAGGAGCACAGGGACTGGCCTCCTGCTGGGACTCTGAGGAGCACAGGGACTGGCCTCCTGCTGGGACTCTGAGGAGCACAAGGACTGGTCTCCTCCTGGGACTCTGAGGAGCACAGGGACTGGCCTCCTGCTGGGACTCTGAGGAGCACAGGAACTGGCCTCCTGCTGGGACTCTGAGGAGCACAGGGACTGGCCTCCAGCTGGGACCCTGAGGAGCACAGGGACTGGCCTCTGCTGGGACTCTGAGGAGCACAGGGACTGGACTCCTGCTGGGACTCTGAGGAGCACAGGGACTGGCCTCCTGCTGGGACTCTGAGGAGCACAGGGACTGGCCTCCTGCTGGGACTCTGAGGAGCACAGGGACTGGTCTCCTGCTGGGACTCTGAGGAGCACAGGGACTGGCCTCCTGTTAGTGCCCAGAGTCAGGACTAAACATGGGGAGGCAGCGCAAATTCATGCTAAAATCGGGAACAGTCCTCCTGAAAATGTGAAACCGGCTTCTTCTCTGACAATGTTTAAATCCAGGTTAAAGGCAGTTTTGTTTACCTGTGCATACAACGGAAGGATTTGATCTCTCCTTGTGGTATTTTAATGTTTTTAATTACCTATTTTAATTGCGTTTTTGATGGTGATTTTGTATTAACATGTGAAAATGTGTTCCTTGTGTGATTTGTGCGCTTTGTGTTGCGCTCTACAAATACAGATTTATTGATAAAAACCCTGTAATCAAATCATGATATATGACCAAGGCTTGGACGGTTCTTTTCATAAGACAAAAGGGCATAGAGGCTGGTGTGGTTCAAATCTAGGGTCTAAGGTAAACAATGCTATCGGACAGCCCTAGGCACTCAGAGGGAGAGGTAGACTCTGTAGAACGACCACAGAAGGGCAGGAGTAAACATGTTTGTGCTAGAAGTGTGTGATATTAGCCTGGATGGATCTAAAAACAACTCCAGGTCTGTTTTGGTTGAAGTGGCCGTAGTAGTTACAGCAGCTGTAGTATAGTAGCGGCTGTAGTAGTGCCAGCTGCACGGTGGCTGAGTGGATAGCACTCTCGCCTCTCAGCAAGAAGGTCCTGGGTTCAAATCCTGGTTGGACCAGGGCCTTTCTGAGTGGAGTTTGCATGTTCTCCCCGTGTCTGCGTAGGTTTCCTCCGGGTGCTCCGGTTTCCCCTACCACTAAAAATATGTACAATAGGTCTGGCATGTGCCTCCTGTAAGGCAAGGCAAGGCAAGGCAAGGCAAGTTTATTTATATAGCACAATTCATACACAAGGCAATTCAAAGTGCTGAACAGAACAAGAAAGCATCAAAATCACAAATAATCACAGTACATTAAAAAAAAAAAGATAAAAATATAAAATCCCTCAGTTGTATGCACAGTTAAACAGAACTGTTTTCAACCTTGTCTTAAACATTGTCAGAGAGGAGGCCTGTCTCACATCTTCAGGAAGACTGTTCCAGATTGTACTAGCCCCACTCCCAAAAATAACAATTGTAAACCGCTTTGAGACTCTGATGTGCAGTGAAAAGGCGGTATATAAATAAATAAAGATTACTACTACTTACTTACTGTAGTATAGTAGCGGCTGTAGTAGTGGGAGCTGTAGTGTGGGAGCTGTAGTATAGTAGCGGCTGTAGTTGTGGCAGCTGTAGTATAGTAGTAGCAGCTGTAGTTGTGGCAGCTGTAGTATAGTAGCGGCTATAGTAGTAGCAGCTGTAGTAGTGGCAGCTGTAGTATAGTAGCGGCTGTAGTTGTGGCAGCTGTAGTATAGTAGCGGCTGTAGTTGTGGCAGCTGTAGTATAGTAGCAGCTGTAGTATAGTAGCGGCTGTAGTTGTGGCAGCTGTAGTATAGTAGCGGCTGTAGTTGTGGCAGCTGTAGTAGTGGCAGCTGTAGTATAGTAGCGGCTGTAGTTGTGGCAGCTGTAGTATAGTAGCGGCTGTAGTTGTGGCAGCTGTAGTATAGTAGCGGCTGTAGTAGTGGCAGCTGTGGTATAGTAGCGGCTGTAGTTGTGGCAGCTGTAGTATAGTAGTAGCAGCTGTAGTATAGTAGTGGCTGTAGTTGTGGCAGCTGTAGTATAGTAGCGGCTATAGTAGTAGCAGCTGTAGTAGTGGCAGCTGTAGTATAGTAGCGGCTGTAGTTGTGGCAGCTGTAGTATAGTAGTAGCAGCTGTAGTATAGTAGTAGCAGCTGTAGTATAGTAGCGGCTGTAGTTGTGGCAGCTGTAGTATAGTAGCGGCTATAGTAGTAGCAGCTGTAGTAGTGGCAGCTGTAGTATAGTAGCGGCTGTAGTTGTGGCAGCTGTAGTATAGTAGCGGCTGTAGTAGTGGCAGCTGTGGTATAGTAGCGGCTGTAGTAGTGGCAGCTGTGGTATAGTAGCGGCTGTAGTTGTGGCAGCTGTAGTATAGTAGCGGCTGTAGTTGTGGCAGCTGTAGTATAGTAGCGGCTGTAGTAGTGGCAGCTGTGGTATAGTAGCGGCTGTAGTTGCAGCATTCAGACCTATTGTACATGTTTTTAGGGGAAACCGGAGCACCCAGAGTAAACCTACACCAACATGGGGAGAACATGCAAACTCCGCTCAGAAAGGCCCCTCTCCTCATCTCTGTTAATCCTTCTGTATATTCACAACAGCAAAGGAAGTTCCCCTATGTTTAAATTATATATATTTAGAAGTATAACATTATGCGCAAAGTAAAAACAATACAAATGTTATAATAATAATAATAAAAACAATAAAATACCAGTTAACAATAATAATAATAATAAAAACAATAAAATACCAGTTAACAATAATAATAATAATAAAAACAATAGAATACCAGTTATGAGTTCTGCACAGTACGTCTCCTTTAAAGCGTCCGCCACACTGCCGTACATAACCCAATTTGCTTCCGGCTTACCTTCCGTCTAATCCCACCGGCCACTATTTCATTTAGTAGAAGAGATATCTGCCGCCGAAGAGTCGTCTCCCACTTTCTCACGCTCCGCCGAGAGTGCGTTTTTCTGGAGCGCAGTATTTCTCCAGCATCACAGATTATATTTTACCCCAGTGTCATGCAAAGTGGAAGCGGCAGCTGTTCTTCCAGCCGTCATTTGCATAACAGTGGCACTTTAAAAATCCCCATGTTTAGGACATCTCAGAAAGTCAGAGAAAGAAAACATTGGAGTATTCCAGCACTCAGCAAAATTGACTGGAGATAAGGCAACGAAAAAGGCCACAAAAATCTAATCAAAATCAAAAATGCCATAAAAAATATGAATAACTATGTGCACTCTGTAATATTTGATCTGCCACCGGCTGCGGATGTCGTGATTGTATTAAATTAGAGTCGTATAGCCGTCAACACAGAACTGATTTGAATATGTAAAAGTTGTAAAAAGGGCTTTCATAACAGGGAGAAGTTAAAGCTGGGGTACCTCACTTTCTAGCTACAGATTGGTTCTTTCACCAGTTTTCACATCTTTAGGCCCGCTTTTTAGGACAGCCCTAAAGACGTTTTCTGTCTTGACAAATACAATGCATAATCTATGGAGTACAACTACCAGCAACCCCAGCTTTAAATGACTGAAATTCTGAAAAAAAACTCCCCACAAGTCACTGATCAGGGATAGTGAGTAGTAGTAGAAGTTGAAGCAGCAGCAGCAGATTTAGCAGTAGAAGTAGCAGCAGTAGTAGTAGTAGTAGTAGTAGTGGTAGTAGTGGTAGCAGTAACGGCAGCAGTAGTAGTAGCAGTAGCAGCAGCAGCAGTAGTAGTAGTAGTATCTGTAGTAGTAGTAACAGCAGCAGTAGTAGTAGTAGTAGTATCTGTAGTAGTAGTCACAGCAGCAGTAGTAGTAGTAGTAGTAGTATCTGTGGTAGTAGCAATAGCAGCAGCAGTAGTAGTAGTAGTAGTATCTGTGGTAGTAGTCACAGCAGCAGTAGTAGTAGTAGTAGTATCTGGTAGTAGTCACAGCAGCAGTAGTAGTAGTAGTAGTGGTAGCAGTAGCAGCAGCAGTAGTAGTAGTAGTAGTATCTGTGGTAGCAGTAACAGCAGTAGTAGTAGTAGTTGTATCTGTGGTAGTCGTAACAGCAGCAGAAGTAGTAGTATCTGGTAGTAGTCACAGCAGCAGTAGTAGTAGTAGTAGTAGTGGTAGCAGTAGCAGCAGCAGTAGTAGTAGTATCTGTGGTAGCAGTAACAGCAGCAGTAGTAGTAGTAGTATCTGTGGTAGCAGTAACAGCAGCAGTAGTAGTAGTAGTATCTGTGGTAGTAGTCACAGCAGCAGTAGTAGTAGTAGTAGTATCTGTGGTAGCAGTAACAGCAGCGGTAGTAGTAGTAGTATCTGTGGTAGTAGTCACAGCAGCAGTAGTAGTAGTAGTATCTGTGGTAGTAGTCACAGCAGCAGCAGTAGTAGTAGTAGTATCTGTGGTAGTAGTCACAGCAGCAGTAGTAGTAGTAGTATCTGTGGTAGCAGTAACAGCAGCAGTAGTAGTAGTAGTATCTGTGGTAGCAGTAACAGCAGCAGTAGTAGTAGTAGTATCTGTGGTAGTAGTCACAGCAGCAGTAGTAGTAGTAGTAGTATCTGTGGTAGCAGTAACAGCAGCGGTAGTAGTAGTAGTATCTGTGGTAGTAGTCACAGCAGCAGTAGTAGTAGTAGTATCTGTGGTAGTAGTCACAGCAGCAGCAGTAGTAGTAGTAGTATCTGTGGTAGTAGTCACAGCAGCAGTAGTAGTAGTAGTATCTGTGGTAGTAGTCACAGCAGCAGCAGTAGTAGTAGTAGTATCTGTGGTAGTAGTCACAGCAGCAGTAGTAGTAGTAGTATTAGCAGTAAGCAGTA